TCAACCTGCTCTGCAAGATTTTCAACAATTTCCCTGGCTTGCATCATTGCCAAGCCAGTTTTTCATTGAACATGCATAGCACATAATGTGATGACACCTGACTCATTCAGTTAGTCCAGCAGAACTCTTGCTATATTGCAACAAAAGTTCTGGAAGATGTATTGCAGGATGGTATGTGTTATTTGTATGACTGTATGCGTGTGAGTCTACAGGCTTGCCAAAGGAGGGTATACAGTATATTAATCTTGAGTTTTAGAACTACAGATTCAGCCCTTATTTTTTTAAACTTGTGCCTCTAGCAGCACACCTGAAAATATACCAACTGTATCTCCTGTATTAAGCTAAAACCTGCACCAGATACATGAATAGTAATTGCTTATTAACTCAAATATAAATGACCAATATTTACCAAACCCTGAACCAAGTCAATACATATAGACTCAAATATGGTGGACTCTCTTGTCATATTTGATGTATGAGGGTCAAGCAGCTCAGTTCCTAGGAACCAACAGCACATATGATTTGATTATAGTGGTGAAGGCTTTGTGCAGAACTGACCATACGATTTGAAGAGCAGAATACAGAGACCTGGTGCACCACATGCCACAAGGTCCCCAAACGAGCATCAGCAGGTTTTGAATTCAGAGTTGTCCTTCTCTTAGACCAGTTGCTATTCAAGGCTATAGAACCTAGTCTGTTCTGCTATTTACCCATAGCTGGAGGGAGAAGAGGAGGATTAAGGGTATTAAGGGTATTAGCATCTAAGTAAATGTAATGGAAGACTCAAATATAAATGACCAATATTTACCTATTCCAGAACCAAGTAAATGCTTATAGACTCATATAAATTGGCCAATATTTACCTATCCTGAAGGAAGTAAATGTTTATAGACTCAAATATAAATTACCACTATTTACCTTTCCTTAACCAAGTATATATGTATAGATTTCAATATTTTTTTTTTTTTTTGAAAAAGCCTGATTAGGACATTATATAACCCAATTCAACTCATTTAAACTGAAACACTGATTCAGAATGTTTCTATATTATTGGTGCCTATACCAGCAACGTACCTGTCAAAAATAATGAGGATATTACCATTTTCCTACCTCCAAGTCAGTGTAATATCTATGAACTGTGAATTAATTCTGGCTAGGATCAGAGTGTAGTATCTCTACATTCTCAAAAAAGTGTTAAACACTCACTCTTACAGATATACCTTTTCAGTTTTATTCCCATCAGCACCAAACAAACACATACATACTTCATCTTTACATCATACAGTAAATAAAATGGATTTTTTTTTCTTCACAAAGAATTGATTTACGAGAGCATTTTACCTCTACCAGGTGGAATTTGTCGGTTTGATTAGAAGCCAGAATCTATGGATTGGGTCTGGTGGTGATTCTTGGTAAATTGTTATTCACCATTATTTCAACAAATTATTCATTTAATTAATTTTCCCATAAAAGACCTTGTGTCTCATTTCGGAATTGCGCAAATAACAATTGCTTGTCTCTTTTTCAACATCATCCGGTTTTACTTGTTCTTACTGCTGAGTCCTCTATTTTGATAAACACCTGCCTGCATGGAAGCAGAAACAGCTTTTCTGCGGTTTGTAGATCAATGAATCAGGTTTGGAAAAAATAAAAAAAATAAAAAATAGGAAATAAAGATGCAGTGATATTGTACAGAGATTTTTCTATAGTAACTAACATCCTTTATTTTATTTGTCATTGTATTGTTTTTACTTTTAATTGCTGTTGTTGCAATTTATATTACAAAGCAATCAAATTGAAATTAATTTTTCTTTATTCTTTTTTTTTAAATTAAGCTATGACTGTGAATGCTTTTTCATTTGCATTTGTTTGTTTTTAATACTTGTACTTTAAGATTTGAAATGTGTTTGAAATTTAAGTTTTTACATTAAATGTAAAATCAAAAAGGAAAGACAACTTGGGATCCAAGATGGTTTTCTTTATTTGAGAAATTTCTTTACAAATAAGAAATATTTTATGTAATATTGTTTTTTCTTTGAAATTAAAAAAAAAAGAAGTAAAGCCTGTAAAAAGAAGAAAAAAATAAACAAAACCAAAGTCTTATGATATTTTTATGTTATTTTTGTTTTAATTTCATCATTTTCCACAGAGAAATATGACCATATTCTAGAGAAAATTGAAAATCTCTGTAAATTACACTTTGTTTTTTATTATTTGTGAATTGCTATGGTTCTTAGTAAAGATAGTTCTACAATCTTTACTTATAATTCATCATTTCCTGTTGCCTTCTCCACGGCTTGAAATTAAGGGTGTTCCTTCATTTCGGTTGGTTGCCACTCTGGAATTATTTAATCTATCACTAGGATGAGAAAATATGAATTTATGCTTTTCCCAGGGGTGTTAGTGTGAAAGTGAATGCAACAGACTAAACCAGAATTTCAATTCAACTCACCAGTTCCACTTTCTGTGATATCTTTAACACTAACCAACATGATCAATAAAGCTTGGTTGACATAACTTCCAAGATTTAAAAATAGCACTATTTTAATTAGCTATATCCTTGTCTATAGCCTTTTCTTTGCAAGGAAATCCAGCTATATCAATAAAGCTTGTTTGAGAAAGCTTTCATGATTATATTTAATATGTTGGAACTCTCTATCAGTTAAAGACAAAAATAACAGCCAAGAAAAGAGCTGCCATATTGTAATGGAACTGCAAGGTCCTTAAACCTAATTATGAAGAAGTTGAATGCTTTCTAACCAATTAAAACACAATTCTCATCTGTCTATTAAAAGAAATCAAATTGAAAAGTAAATTTTAAAAAACTAAAAACCTTAACAACTCATTTACAAATCAACTGATATGCCAACTCTTCTTCTTCATGGGCTGTGTCCCCTAAAGATATAGGCGATCATGGCTCTCCCCAACTTCCTGTGCCTTGTAGCGCTCAATAAATTTTATTTTTCTGTTATTTCTCCTAAACCCTGTTCCACCATTCATTTACTAAAGCTGACTAAGTATGTCATGCACTGTTTTCCTTCGTTTCTCTTGCTTTCCATTTGTCCTATGAGTATCAGGTTTTCCAAGCCCTCTCTACTGCCCTAGAAACCTCAATTGTCTCTTTCTGATGTTAAATATAAGTTTCTTTTTTGTTTCCATTTTCTTTAAAACTTTGTCATTGCTTGTATGTTTGGTCCATGGTATCCTCAGCATCCTTGTGTGGTAAAAAGAAAACACAACCAAATCTTAAAAATAAATATTTCACAAACTCCATACAGAAAATCTGGTCTTTGTAATAAATTCTGGGTTATTTAAATATGAAGACAATCCTTCATCACAACCTATGAAACTGCAAAATTGTAAACACAGAGCTGTAGATTTGAAGACTTCCATGCTACCAAGAACAAAAGTTCTGTAAGGAAACTCATATCAGGATAAAAAAAAGCAATAATAATGGTTTTGAGAAGATTATTTTCCTGAAATAAAACTGTTTTAAAAGAAATATTTTTATAAATTTCAACCAATACTAACTCTAATTATTAGGGTAATGAATACTGAATATTTCCTGTATGATGATAACATTAGCTATTTCCTTATAAGGAATATTCAGCACTCATTGACCTAGCAGCTAGTGGTACTTTCAATTGAAATTTATAAAATCTTTCTTTTAAAATAATTATTCAAGTAAACAGGTTTCTCAAATCTAGTAACCATTTTTACTCTTTTTAGTGTTGATGGAGGTTTCCTTCCTAATCTTTGGTTTGAAGTAGTGTAGAATGTCAACATGTTAATTACATCATTATTCTCTCTTCAAGTCAAATGTGCTATTCATTTTAGTTGTTGCTGCTGTTAAAAAGTTCTCCAGTAAATTGGTTTTTATTATTTTGTATAGTTCTTTATTTTGTAGCACCAATTTACAAGGTTCAAAGGAAGATGGTCCTCACTAATTCTTTCAAGCTTCATTCACTCAAATCCATTTTTAACTATTGAGCTGAGAAAGCAATTGTACATGGCTAACAGTTTAGATATATCTGAATGAGTTTGCTACCTTGCGTGACATCCATATGAAAGTGATATATGATTTAAAGTTTTTAGGTTAATATTTTGGCTTTGTATTCTTGGGCAAAATGACTCCTAGAACAGGAATGGGGAAAATGGAAATTAATATGGTGGATGAGTTTCTTTTATTATACTTTGCAATAAAGCAGTTAGTCAATTCTTTTTATTCTTCTATATGCTGTGTCCCTTCCACAATTTCCTGTCCTTTATATGTCTTAGTAAATTTTGTCTCTATCTCTCCTAATCCCTGTTCTGCCAACCATTTACAGAATCTTATTAGGCAGGTTATGTTCTGCTTTCCTCTGTCCTTCTTATCATCAATATGTTCTGAGAGTGTTACATTTTCTAAGCCCTCTTTTCTCATGCGTCCTAGAAATTTCAACTCTCTCTTTCAGATGTTAAGTATAAGTGTCCTTTTTGTTCCCATTTTATCTGAAACTTTATTGTTGCTCACATGTTTGGCCTATGGTATTCTCAGCATCCTTCTGTACAACCATATTTCTGTTGCTTCAAATCTCTTCATTATCTCTGATAGGATTTTCCAGCATTCATTACCATATAGGAGGACCAATATGACATAACAATTCCGTATTCTTCTTTCTTTTTTTTTTCCATTGATATTTTCTTGTTTCTTAATACCATGCTTAAGTTTTGAAAGGCATATTTTGCTATCCCAATGTGCCTTTGGATTTTAGTGTTGTACTTTCCATCCTCTGTTATAACACCTCAAAGATATTTATATTTTTGTATTCACCTGATTTTGGCATCTCCAATTTGTAATTTTCATCTTTGTATTGGACTCTTCTCTTCAACCATACATTTATATTTTTACAATAGATTTTTAGTCCTTTCTTTTTACTTTCCTTTACTAACTTCTGTTTGAGATCCTGCAATTTTCTTTCTATGTTCTTTCAACACCATGTTGTCTGCATATCTTGGCTTATGGCCACATCATGTTGAAACACTGATTCCCATATGATCACTGAAATTAAGCAACATGGAGCCTGCTCAGTATCTACGTGGGTGACCACTTGGAAATACTAGGTCTTGTAAATTTGTTTCTGTGAGTGGTTTGGAATTGTTAGTTGAAGAACTGAATTCCAGTTCCATTTGGGTCTGTTATATTAATTTATATGTAAATACTCTTGTGAAAGGTATGAATCTCTTCTCTCCCCAGCTATGGGTGAATTAGTAAGACTTATATTGTTAAAACCATTATTATCTTAAAAAATAAATAAAATTTCATACAAAACATTTAGATTTTGGCATTGAATAACCCATAGAAGTTGCTATGCTGCTAAATGCCCAAACATCTGTGTATCTTAAATTGCTAAGATTGTGGCTGCCAATGATGAATTGTAGTAGAACTTCTAATTCTCTCACAATTACCTCCATGTAAAGGTTGAAAAGACTAGTACAAAGAGACATCCTTCTCTTACACGCCTTTCTATTTTTGTATATTTAGTGAATTCATTTTCTAACCGTGTGTGCATGCAGTTTGCTCCTAGTGTAGGTTCTGGATTAATCTAATGTCCTTCCCAAATATGTCAAGGTTACCTAACACTTCAAACATTTCTAAGCACATTGTTAAACCCTGATAGAATAATTCATTATTTTTCCAACAGGGTAGCTTCAGTCAAAAAAAAAAAAAGGACAAATTTTCATTTATTTTTTGTTGCTGTTGGGTGAAAAATACTTTTATCAGTCAACCCACTTTGGTAGAAACAATTCAAATAAAGCTATCATTAAATCTACTGAGGGTCATAATTATATTTTATTATCAAGATGAAACTAATAAATCGTTTACATTTGTGATGACAAATTTATTCTGTTTTTTTTTTTTTTTCAGTCCAAATCACCAAATGACAATGCTTTTCTTTATGGATTTCCAACAACAGCAGAACCAAAAAGACCAAGAGAAACGTAAGTTCAATATTATTTGTAAAATTGTTCCAGTCTCATAATTGATCTAAGGTGGAACTGATTGAGGCTTTTTGTTTTAAAAAGTCTTTGTTGATTGTTCATCATATGGTTACTGCATTGCTAACAGAGCTTATTTTGTTTGTTATATTTCTTCAAAAATGGATAAGTAGTGTAAATTTGAATTAAGGAACTCAGACAAGTAATGGAGAAAGAATGCTTTATTCTGACTACTTCATTCCCTACGTGTGTCCCTAATGAATGATGGCTGCTTGGCACTTCTGGGTGAGATTGTCCCTTCCTCAGTAGGTGAGTGTCCAAGGTGATCAACACATGAAGATTAACAAGTAGTATTAAATAAATATAGCTTTTCAGATGTTTAACCAGTCATACTAGAGTAAACATTATTGGCTAGATTTCAAGCCTGTAAATAGATATTTTTTTCATCCTCATGCAGTAAAACTACCCACAATTTAATTTAGATTTGTTAAATCCTTAATGCCTTTATGTTCAGACGTTATTTTAAATTTACGAGGCTTTAATTCAAATTTCTGAACTTCAGTCAATTTGTATATTAGTTAATATTGCGATACTCAAAATAGTTTTTCATTGATTAATTCATTTTCTATGGTTTAGCAAATCTGTGCAAGTTATTTAAAGCCAGAAAATATTTTTAGAGTGTAAGAATTATTTATTTTTTGAAGATAATAATGGTTTAGTGATGCAGGTCTTATCAATTAACCCATATCTGGGAGGAAGAAGAGGTTTATTGGTTCATCAAGATGTTTTCCCAAGAGTATTTGCATGTAAGTGAATTTAAGAAACCCAGCAGGAATTGGAACTCAGTTCTCTGATTAACAATTCCAAGCCATTATACATTACGCCACCTGCACATCCATTCTTATACCACCAGGTATTCCGAAGTGGTCACCCATCTAGGCACTGACCAGGCTCAACAGGAACTGATGTTTCAACATAATGTGGCTGTAAGCCTCAAAATAGGTTTTCAAGTTTATAAATTTATTCATTTTATTGTTAAGATTAAATCCTTAAATCCTACAAAAATTATTAGTTTGTGTTAAATGCCCTTTACATTGGATAAACTAGTGCATCAAAGTCAGGCAAAGAGCAGAAAGGCTATCTAGGTAAAAGAACAACAGAAAAATGATGGAAAAATAATGTAAAGTTCCAAATTAAAAGGTAGAATTGAAATAAATATAATGTATATAAATTTGATTGATTAAATGGTACACAGAATATCACAAATCCTCAGGCTCACAATATGTGCTCTATACTTTTTAAAAAAAATCATTTCACTCTAAGCAAGACAGTAACATCATTAAAATGCAAGGGATTACTCAGTATTGAATAATATGAGGAAAGAAGACATTATTAAGGAAAGAGAATAATAAAAGAGCTGGAATTAAGAAGATTGAAGATAATGATTGACATTACATTTAAATTCTTGAAGTTCAATGTGGGAAGTTTTATATTATATATATATATATATATACACACACACACACATGTTCTTTTGTGAGCATATATGCAAGGTTGTTGATGTATTTGATACCCTCAAATCACACTCAGTTGTAAGATTATATTACCCTAATTCCCCATGTATAATACGCCATCATCCATAATATACACACCTAAAATTGTGTTGAAAGTGTGGGGAATACACATAATACATACCCCTTGTTTGATAATCAAACCCTATAAATTGTACCTCTCCAATTTCTTTACGGCCAGCATTTCCTACTCTTCTTTAAAAAAAATGGTTTTAAACATAGAATAATATTATTCTAATTTAGTTTTATGATAATTCTTATTTTAAGGCAATTTTTTAAAGATTTTTTGTAGTTGTGCATAATATTTTTGCTTACTATTCTTTAGAAAAAATGCGTATTTTACTTGGGGAGAATTACAGTACTTCAAGTCAGACCTTCAACTTTACTATGTTCTTGACTGACTATTTCTGTCTATTTTGTTTCCTGTCTAATATCTGAGTGCAGCTCCCAGTCCAAAGGGCTGGAATATGAGTGTAGCATTTATTTCTTGTCCTTGAGTGAGATGCAGCACCACATACTTATCTCTGGCAATCCAAACACTGGAGTTTCACTTCACCTAGTACAAAAAAAGGGGAAAGTTGAAATATTGTCAGATTGGGGAAATTTTTATTCTTGCCTACTTGTATATGTCACAACCTACTGTCATGAGGACATACTTAAATATTGGTTCCTGCACAGTCCTAGCAGATTATGGCCACATCATGTTGAGATACCAGTTTTTGTACAATCAAAGTTAAGCAATGTCAAGCTTGGTCAGTACCTAGATGGGTGACTGCTTGGGAATACCCAGTATTATAAGCTTGGATGTGCAAGTGGTGTAATGGATAATTGCTCAGAATTGCTAATTGCTGAGCCAATTTTTATTTCCTGTTAGGTTCGTTATATTCACTTATGTGCAAATACCCTTAGGAAAGGTATGAATACATCTCTTTCCACTCCAGCTATGGATGAATTAGTAAGGCTTATATCACTAAAACCATTACTATCTCAAAAAAAATTGCATACATAATATTTAGATTTTCGACTTAAATAATATATGCCACTAAACAACCAACCAACCAACCTTCTCAGTCCTATCTTTTAACTTAAGCAGTCAGTCATTCAAGTTCTATTCTATTTGTAAATACATTTATTTGTATGAAATTATGTACATTGTATAAGCAATATTACGACAAAATTTGCAAGGCTTTATTTGGAGTGAAAGAGAATGAGAAGTCTTTATGAGAAGGAACTGAAAATCTAGTCCTAAACAGGAAAAAAGGGAAAAAACCACTACTCCTGTTCAGTAGGCAGGGAGGAGTGTGAATAACGATAGGCATGTGATATAATAAAAATGGGTAAGTGCAGTATTTTACTGGAAATAAAAAAAATTCTTAACTATCTTTCATAACTGAAGAATTCGTAACTGAAGTAATAAAGAATGTATGTAATATTCTTGCAAGACACTCTATATGTAATTTTTAACGAATATTGCACAGTACGCCTTACCAGGCACAATCCAATGTCCAAACCACTGAGTCATCTCTTGCCCAATGATCTTTGCCTTAAATGAACTTATTTACTCATTCTGAAACTGGGAATTTACTTTTTCACTTGACTTCTTCCATATTGAAAAATATTAATTGAAAACAATTTATGCATTTACTTCTTGCATTGCCTGCATATCATGCAATGTCATCTTCATCCATTGACACTGTAACAGTGTCCCTGGTGGAATCTCTCTTCAGCTCAATCGGATTGGAAGGAAAGTAGAAGAAAATGAGTTCCGATAATGCCATAGACATCTGACGGTTAGCTTTATTGGTTCATCAATTCCATCAATGTTACAAACACATGATTCCAGAACCAGTTCTAGGCCTCGGCTTCAGCCGGTCGGTTGGATGTTGTGTCCAACCAGTTGTTCATAATCTGAGCCAACATGCTATGAAATATGTCTGTCTCATCTTGTCATCAACATGACTCATGTCTTTCTATCATGTTTATTCCTTCCCTGCTGCAATTGCCACTTCCACAGTTTGACCCTGTCACCTCTTCCCCTCTACCTAGTGTGGAATGCTGTGAACTTTTGTGTGCATTTAGTCATATCTTTATTTTCCTTCTCTCTCTCAAACCTGCTACTTGGTGACATGGTAACCTTGATCCACCATGCAAAGCCTGACCAGAGGCTTGGTTACTTTTGCTCTATTTGAGTCAACTTCTTCAAAATGCACATGGGAGGCTATTTAAAATTTTATCTGTCTTCTCAGTCCTTTTTTTTCCCTTTTTAATGAAGTTTCCTAAATCTAAGGCCCAAAAGACACTCAAGGTAGAGGGTTATTTACTGAGACTGCCTTAGGAGCATAGAGAAGAAGTAAAAGGTGCATTTTTTGAGGATTTGTAAGATAGATATTGGTTGACCCTAGTGTTGAAGTGGTTAAGATTATAGAGTTCAGTGAAGCGTCTTCTGAAGAGTCTGTTCCACAACTATGCTTGGGAAAAGTAGGAATCCACATCTTCTCCACTCAACTATGGGTTAATTAATAGGATCAGTAAATCAATAGTATCTTCAGAAAAATTTCTTACTATCTAAAACTTTTTTTTCTGTTCCATAGAGTGATAATTCTTGAGAAGGTGTCTAAATAGAACTTCCTCCTTACCAATGGAATATGAAGGAAATGAGGATTATTTGACAGTGTGTAAGTGGCATGGTGGGTACTAACTATGAAGGTTTACAGCCATATCACATTGAAACATTAGTTCTTATATGATCACAAATTAAGCAACATCAAGCTTGTTCAGTACCTAGATGGGTGACCACTTAGGAATAAAATGTGCTGTAAGCTTGGAAGTGTGCATGGTGTAATGGATAATGACTCTGAACTGTAAAGTGGAGAGCTGAGTTCCAATTCAAATCAGGTTCATTATATTAACTTCTGTTCAACTATCCTTGGGAAAAGTATGAATGCACATGTTCTTCCTCCCAGCTATGGGCTAATTAGTAGGACTTGTATCAGTAAATCATTATTATCTTCAAAAACAATTCTTAAAACTTAAAAATATTTTCTGGCTTCAAATAAAGGGTTGGTGAGCCATATAAAAACAAACCAATCAATCAAAAAACTTAGGTATGAAGGCCTGAATTGTTTAAACATTCGTAATAGCAATAGAGTAGTGTAAGATTAGTAACATATGATCTGTAGGAAAGGGTGGAAAATAATTCATCACCCACAAGTCCGTGTAATAGTTTTTATTAATTCTGTCAAAGCTAATTTATACTTTATTTGATAAGAAATGAATTTCAAGAAATTATTTAATTTTTAAGTACTTTACCATGGAAGATTCATAAGCAAGATTGTATTGTTGATCATAACCTCTGGTGTGTCTTGGAATGTCATAGGAGCTCCAAACACATGGCTTTTGTTAGGATTTAACTAAGCTTAGTAAAGTAGATCA